GAGAAGGGACCGCACAGGGCAAGGCCAGGCAGGGAGCTTCCAGGGTTCCCAGGCCCAGCCCTATTCTCCTTCCCCCGCCTCCCAGTTCAGCCTGGGTTATTTTCTCGTCTCTTTCCCCCTCTCTCCCTTCCCCCTCTTGTCCCTCAGCGCGCAGACGCGGCCGCTGCCGGACCGGGAGGGGAGGACGTTTCCCTAGCAACCGCCCGGGGTCCCGCCGCTGCCGCGGCCTGGGCCCGAGCGAAGGAGCCGCCCCAGCCCGGGGGAGCGGTGTGCGGGGCCGGGAGGGGGATGGGGCCCGCTGCCCCCCCGCCGTGATGCTGCTGAGCAGGAAGCCGGAGGGGCCCCTCACCGCAGGTAACGCGGGGCCCCGCATCCCGGCCGGGGTCTCGGGGCCGCCCCAGCGCAGCCCCGCCTCGGTCCCACGTGCCGGGGCCTGGGCATGAGACACGGTCCCCCGCCTCCATGTGCCCGGGGGAGCCGGGGCCCGATGTACTTGGGCGGGGGGTTGGCCTGGGTCCCCCCCACCCCAGCGGTGCACCCCTCGGGGGGGTGATGCACGTGGGCGGGGGGCTGCCTGCTGGGGGGACCCGGGGGCCATTGGCAGCATGGGGCGGGGAACCCCTGGGGCTGGGGGGAGTGAGTAGAGGGATCACAACACCACGGGGCGAGGGGGTTTGATCCCGGGGGTGGGGGCAGCTGGGAGGGTCCGGAATGCAGGGGGAGGCGGGTTTCCCATCCGCTCAGACAGATGGAAACCCCCCGGGGGGTGGGGGATGAGTGATTAGAGGGATAAAAATAAGGAGGAAAAGTGGTTGGTTCTGGGGAGGGGGCAGCTGGGAGTATAATCAAGGGCAGGGGAGTACTGGGGTGAGATCCCATAGGCGCCTGTGGGGGAATAACTAGGGGGAACCTAAAGTGTGGTGGGGAGTGAAATCAAATGACAGGAAAGGTAGACTGTCTTGGGAAACATCTCCTAAGGGTGCGAGTTACTCGTCGTCCCAGGAAACCAGTGGAAGCCTAATCATCCAATGAGACTTTTGAAACTAGACTGGACAAAGCACTGGAGAATAGATTGTATCGAACAATCCAGTTCTGGACAAGGCGTGAAATATGCAAACAATAGAAAACTTCCTTCTGTGGTGATTTCAAATGATGCTGAGTTTCTTTCAGTGCCTTACTTTTTTTTTTTTTTTTTTTTTTTTTTTTT